CCCCCGCTGTGGCACCCCAAGATCCCTCCCAGCTCGGGCACCCCAAGGGCCCCCTGTGTAGGGGACCTCGAGACCCACCATTCGGGCCACCCCGAGAATCCCCATAAGGAGCACCCCAAGACCCCACTTGGAACGTCCTGAGCCGCCTTATCTGGGACCCCCCCCATCCAGGACACCCCAAACTCCCCCCCTACCTGGGACACCCCAAGAGCCCATCGAGGGCACCCAAAGACCCCTCCTATCTAGGACACTCCAAAACAGCCCTCATCCGGGGCACCCTGGGCCACCCTGGACCCTGATCACGTGCACCCCACGTACCCCATCCAGGGCACTCCAAGCACCCACATGCCATCACAGCCCCACGGCACAGGCCCCCGCTCCCCTCGCTACAGAGAAACTCCGGTAACGATGAAAACCTATGGCCACAGCACCGGCGGTGTACTGACAGCTGTCTGTGGGTGCCACTGCCCACGGGTGCTGCTGTCCATGGGTGCCGCTGTCTGTGGGTCCCTACAGTCTGTAGGTGCCGCTCCCCATGGGTGCCACTGTCTGTAGATCCCTGTTGCCCATGGCTCCCAACTGTCCATGGGTCCCCGCTGCCCAAGGGTGCTGCTGCCTGCGGGTCCCTGCTGTCCCTGCACGCCTGCGGTGGCCCGGCCAGCCCTGCAGAGCCGTGCCCAAGCCTGGGCGACTGGCTACCACGCAGAAGTGGCTGCTAGTGGGTGCAGCTGGGGACAGGGTGACAAGAGGATGCCCAAGCAGGGCGAGAGATGGGGGATGAGCAGCACCACCTTGCCAGGAGCAGGAGCACCCGTGGGGACAAGGAGAAGGCCAGACCCACAGCAAGGTCACCTGGACTGGACGGGGACAAATCTACCTGGCAGGAGGAGGCAGATGTCCCCATCGGTTCCTGCTCCTGCCCCAAGCTGGCACCTGCTTTTTTCCCAGCTGGCTGAGCTGAGCCTCTGCAGCCCCGCCATGCTGCCCCTGTGCTGGCGCAGCTCCGGGGATGCCAAAGCCATCCCAGAGGGTGCCAGCTCCAGTAACCCAGCACGCTCCAGCAGATTAGCGCAACGTGGCAAGTGGGGCGATGAAAATGTTGCCCTTCCTCCCCTCTCCCCCCCCCCCCCCCCCCCCCAAAAAAAGTGAGCACATTCTGCAACAGAGAACACACAAAGCCATTTTCTGATGAAAAGATAATGAATCCCCAATTGCCCGAGGGCTGCCAGTGGCATGTGGCTCATTAACAAATCACATAGGTAGGTGTCACACCTGTAGACACAGACCGGAGCGCCACTGATAGCCCAGCTTTCAGCCGGGGAGAAAACAGGCGCCCAGGCAGCCTTTCGGTAGTTACTGCTCCCCAAAGGGGTCGATGGCACTTTCCCACAGCTGCCTTGAAAGCCCCAGCGCAGCCGGGGAGAGCTGCGGCAGCGGGGCGTGCGGCAGCAGCCCCGGCGCAGCAAGACGCAGTGGCAACCCGTGCCACGGTCGCCTGATGCCAGATGATGGCACCCAGGGAAGCAGCGAGGCCCCGGGGTGCATTTTCCCCCATCACCCCATCCCGCGTCGTGCCCCGGCTGCCCCCGGGAGTCACAGCGTGGCCACGGGGTTTGCAGGAGGGTCCGTGCCCCCGGCGCGCGGGAAGCAGAGGGTAAAAGGCTGCTGAAAAGCAAACCACTGGCAGACATACAGACCGGCAGAATACACGACCCAAAACCAGAGGAGGGCGGCCGGGCCCGAGGACGCTGGAACGGGCGCTGAGGGGCTGCAGGCGGTGAGACACCATAGGTAGCACAAGAATTCATATATAGTAAAAAGTCTTTATTAAGAAGGCTTTGAAGTCAAAAAATAAAACTCTTGATACAATTTTCATAACCGTCAAGTCAGCTCAGCAAATATATAATCAGTACTTTAGCCATGTAAGGTTAAAGGTCCGTTATTTTCTTTTTAAAATAAAATATATTTTAGTTTTTAAAATTTATTCAATAAAGTACATATTTTCCTATAAATTCCCTACATATACATAAAGAGGTAAAAAATAAAAAAATAAAACTAAAAAAAAAAAAAAACACAACCAACAAACCAAAACCAACCACAAAATAAAAAGGCGATAGAAATCTGTCTGGTTTTTGCAACATGGCATGTTAACTGTGCCCCTCCGTCCCACGAGCTCCCCCGCCCGGCCTGGCCCCTCCAGCCACGACCCCCGACCTCTCGTCACGCGTTTTTGGGCAGTTTTCACATTGGCAAAATAGAAGATAGACCTGCGTTACAAAAAAAAAAAATATATATATATATTTATAGAACCATCAAGAATCATCCAAAAAAATAACTACATACAAAAGGAACGACAACAAAAAAAATTATAATAATAATAGAATGATTTTAAAAAAATAAAAGACAACCCTTGCGTGTCCTAAAATAAAAAGTGCAACCGGACCTTTTCTTTCTGTTTATTTAACTTTGCAAACTGAATACTGTTATTTGGGAAGGACTGTTGAAGAACAGCTGGGCTTCCTCCTCCCAGCCGCCGGGTGAAGAGTTAAAGCTATTCTGTAAACATCGGAGTTTCCTCCTCTCTGCAGTTTCACACCCCTCTTCCTCGTTGTCTTCGTCGGCCCCTTCTCCCCCACCCCTCCCG